AACATTTTAACCTTCTCAGGTCCCTCTGATTGTTAGGAAAGGCAGCTGCTAGCATTTCTGCTTGGGCCGCTGCCATAGCCTGTACCTGAAATTGTGTGGTCCCTACACTCTCACACCGCTGAATCATTTCTGTAACATCCATATTGGACTTGCCGCCTTGTAAGGCTTTTTTACAATCAGCATTAGCATTTTCACTGGCCAATTTTTGAAGGAGTATTTCAGCTGCTTTTGAATCAGAAATGCTCCTTTGTATGGCTTGCATAAGTCTCGCTACAAAATTTGGGAAAGTTTCTTGGGGGCCTTGCTTTGTCTGAGTATACGAGGCTCCCCTATCTTGTTTCCCAGGAACCTTTAACCATGCCACCCGTGCAGCCTTCGTAATTTGTTCATATGCTACAAGTGGGTAATCTAGCGGTTGCTGCAGTGCAGTAAACATTCCTGTCCCTGTGAGCTGCTCCAAAGAAACAGGAATCAATGTTCTTGTATTGTATCCTGCCTGCTCTTGGCATTGCTCAATAAATTCTGATTTCCATATTAGATAATCTCCTGGCTCCAAACATGTTTTTGCTAATGAATACCAATCATATGGGGCCATGGCTATATTAGCTATTGAATCTAATAAAGTTTGTACATGGGCCCATATTGTACTGAGGCTTGTTTTAATTCTCTTAAAACTTTGAATTCAAAATTCCTGTGTTCCCTAATCATCTGTCCAGGATTATCTGGATTCTCTTCTTCGTATAGTGGAAACATCATACTTTTTGGGATAGCTAATTTTAAGTCCATAGGCACTTCTTCCCCTCTGCTTTCTGCCCTTTGTATTGTCTCTTCTAACAAGCCCTTACATTTTAACTTTCTCCCAGGCTGTTGTTTAACTGAAGGTAAATACACATCTTTCTGTTGCTTAGGGGAATGCACATTTCTCTGTTGTATAACAGAATAGCATCTTCCCTCTCCTCTTCAGCTATGCTCAATTGTTCCTCAAAGGCTTTATGCATTTCTTCTTCCTCATCTGTTCCTACCCCCTTATCTGCCCGAATCACTTTCTCAGCCACTAGTACTTTATCTGGGGGCATAAGACATATTTTTAGCGTATTCCACATTAAAAAGGTAGCAATCGAGAATGCACCGAGGCCCTCTTCTCTGTAATATTCTCTTAGTTGCTTGCCTACAATCTCCCATTTCTCTAAATCAGTTGTCCCTTCTTGTGGAAACCATGGGCAGCATTTTTCTATAACTTCTAAAAATTCCTGTAGCTGACTGTTTGGAATAACTAAACCTCTTTCTTTCACTATTTTCTTTAGTAATCTTAGGTAATACTCTCTATCTCTTTTTCCACTTTGTACTTGACCCATACTTTTGATCTTACGGGCGCCTCTTAAGATCAAAAGTATATATGTGGGCCTTTCCAAAGCGACACTGTATCTTATGCTCTAAATACCGAGCCTGTTTCTAACCTTTTTTCTAATCAATTTTTTTGTAATTTATAATCTCCCATGTAAGCCTGGTGATTTTCCCCCCCTCTTAGTTCTATTATTTCTATGGGGAAACCTGTAATGACCCTCGTTCCTTTTTACCTTAGTACCGCGGCATTGAGCCACTTCAGGACCTTGTTTCCTGGCATAGTGACCAGCAAGGATTTCTTTTCCTCTGGAGGGTGTTCAAGGAACAGACCTCCCTCTGACTTTTAGTCACTGTTCGACGCTCCAATGTGTTGCCCGCAACCAGATTGTACACCTAACGGAGAGGCGTGAAATAACTTATGACATGGGCCAGGCGGAGTAGAATTACTGACTCAGTTTATTCATCTGAGGGCACAGAATATATAGGGAAGATCTAGCCTAACTTCAAAGAGTCCTCCCTGTGAGATACTCCCCAGAACATCTGCAGAGGATGTGACAATCATGAATTTCCTCCTTATCAGGGTTCCTGCATTGGGCTGTAAATTCCAAGGTTTTCCCAGGCACCTTGGAGCCACCTGCATAGAGGAGTGAATATGTAAATCTAAGGTTCAAAGAGTGAGAAGGAATGTCTCAGGAACCACCTAATCAGGAAGGAATTGGAGAGCCGTACCACTTAATCATTGAGCCCTTTTGGATAAAAGCCTGGGCAGAGGTCAAACTCTGCCTTGGATCTTAAACTCTTATCAGACTCTTAAGATCGGCCCTCAACTCTTGACCAATGCAGCAGTCTATCCAGGGTTAGGTCCTAGGAAGTTGCTTAAGATAGATAAAGTTTAAGGGATCTTTTTAGCTTCAGACATGAATCAGAGGCAAGATCTGACTACTAGCCACACAATCACTGTACCCACTATGTATCATGTGGCTTCTAATGCCAGACAGTAAAAGTCTTGGTTAGCCATAGCTATGCTTTCAAAAGCTAAGTATTAATAGTCTAAAAACTACCATATAGAGATACCTTCTCATGATAATAGGGCTTAGAAACGAACAATAAAACCTCTCCCTATACCTTTTTTTTAAAATAGATTTCTTCTGAATTGAAAAGTGAGGGGAAAAGAAAGAGTAAGGAATACGTCCATTTACATCTCCCCCCCCCCACCAAAAAAAGTAAGACTTCAGAAAGTTAAAGATTTGGAACTAGAAAAAATCTTGAAGATCATTTAATCCAAACTCTTCATTTTCAAACTGAGGCCCAAAGAGGTCAGGACTTGCTTACTTTTAACAACATAGTGAGAATGATTATTATCAACAAATGACTTGGGGAGATCCAGAGTTCCTCTTTTTCTATAGTCCTCATTTCAAAGTTCTGTCTCTTGAAGGACATTATTGATAATGAGATTGGATTAACTTTTAAAATTTTATTCAAACTCCATACAGCTGGGAAAGCCCACTGTTCTCTGCTCAGTCTTGGGTGGAGATGAATTCTTTGAACAGATTGTCCTAGGCTAGAGATAACAGAGGTAAATGATACAATCAGAGTTCATTAGAATAGGTCCAGCCCCATTATAATATTCATTCTGATTAGTTGTTAACCAGTCAGAGGTGATTGTCACACTCAAGAACCACTCGTCTTCCAAGGGTATATAAGCCATGAGCCTGCCGCCATGCTCGTCTTTGGCATTTGAGTGTGCCACTGATGTCTTATTGTTAAGATACTGGCATTATTAATAAAATGACTAATTACCCAGGAAGTATGTCTCTTGAACTTTTTAGACATCACAATCTGAAAGTAGCAATTCTTAGATTAAAATCCAAGTCCTCTAGCTGCAAATCCCCTACTTCTTCCCCTGCCCATCACCACAGCTCTTACCCATTCAAGCACTTCAGGAGAGAAAAATCGGTAATTGTTCACCTACTTAGAGGTCACTGTTGCGTCCAGCTACCAGACATTTTAATAAATATTCTTTTAGTGGATGTGAATTTTTATTAAGAGAGTTCTAATTCATGTAAAGCTTCCAAATGCAGTTAAGTGAGTAGTTTCCCCTTATAGTTATATGATAAGAGTACTGAGCTGAGAGTCAGGAGTCCGGGGTCTAGTGCTGGTTCTGCTTCTTACTGGCTCCATGACTTGGACAACTCACTGCATCCTGAGCCTCAGTTTCCTCATCTGTAAAAGGAATCAGGCTAGATGACTAAGGAGTCCTAGCTGTGTACTGTTTTATTTTCTAATATCAGGACAAAGAATTTTTGTGGGTCCTGTGTAAAGCTTCAGAAATTCATACCCAAGAGATTGGATCTTGACCCTAATATGTTTGGCTTGATAAAATTATGCTATGACGTAGCAATTTTCTGGCATGAGAAGTATGCACATTTGCAAAAAAGAATCAGTAATTCCTATTCTGATCTCCCATTTCTGACTGCCTGATTTTTTGAAAACTAGTCTCAACTCTAATTTTTTATTGCTTTTATGTGTGTGTGTGTGTGTGTGTGTGTGTGTGTGTGTGTGTGTGTGTCTGTGTGTCTGTGTGTCTGTGTGTTCCCGTGAGACTAACTTGTGGCAAGGGAGATGGCAGAGAAAGATACGATTTGTGTTGATTCTTGCTCAAATTAAAAATGAAATGTGACATTTTACTCATTGCCAAGAGAAAATAAGTGAAATTCAAAGATTTGTGTTTTCAGGTATCAGTAATGAGTGCAAGTCTTCAAAATGTTATGAAACCTTTTTTTGTTTGTTTATTGCTAGAGTTTAGAAAAGCTATTATTTATGGCATGGCCATCCAGTCAAATGGACCAGCTTTTGTTGTTCAGTTGTGTCTGATTCTTTGTGGCCCCAGTTGGGTTTTTTTTTTTGCTAAAGATACTGAGTGGTTTGCTACTGCCTTCTCCAACCCATTTTACGAAGAGGAACTGAGGCAAATAGGATTAAGTGACTTGCCCAGTTTCACACAGCTAGTAAGTATCAGAGGCCAGATTTGAACTCAGGAAGAGGAGTCTTCCTGACTCTAGGCCAGGTGCTCTATCCACCGCACCACCTAGCAGTCTTCTTACCTTTCCTAGAAGTTGAAATGGCACAGTATACATAATGCTGAGCCCAGAGTCGCATTCAGTTCTAGGCACCCCATTTGAGGAAGGACATTGATAAGAAGGAGAGCAAGCAGAATGGGGAAGATCCTCAAGCTCATCTGAGGCAGATCAGTAGAAAGAACTGAGGACATTTGTATACCCAGGAAAGGGGAAGAGGTAGCAGGGCAAATGATGGATGGCTTTCGAAGGTTGACCATGTGGAAGGGGGATTAGACTTTATCTACTCAGCCTCAGAGAACAAAGTAAAGACTGATGGGACATTGCAAAGAGGGAAGCTTGGGTTTGATGATAAGGGAGGGGAAAGCTGTACCCATTAGAGCCATACACAAATGGATGGGCTGCCTTGAGAAACAGTGGATGATTTATCTCTTGATAGAGGTCTTCAGGCAAAGGCTGGATGACTACTTGCCATTTTAACATAACAGGGAACTTTTTCTGGGGCATGGGTACCATTAGATGGTTCAGTGAAGAGAAATTTCATTCTAAAAGAAGAATGTACACAGATGCATCTTTCATTTTAAAGCTTTTTTCCTTTAATTTTGAGGATCAATGGGGGTGCTTATTTTGCTGTCTTTATTAGCAAAACCTGTTCTGCCCCAGCATACAATGGTCCATGCCGTCATTGACCACAATGAACTTACTTCACTATACAGCACAGCAAAGAGGGATTCACCCCAGAAACATATCTTGACAAGAAAATATTTTAAAATAACATGGAAGTCAAAAGAAGGCTCAACTGTACAATTTATTGTCAAAATATCAACATGGAAATTACCTGTGTGGATTGTACTAAATTAGTCAATATACAACTGTACTTTTGTGAGATAATTCACAAGCATTTCCCTAAAGGGCATACTGGTAACTTTCGATAGGACCCCCAGAGTATTTGGTCATTTAAGTAAGAGATGATCTTTAAGGCAATTGTCTAAGTGAATGTAAACTCAAGGGAAGTGGCTTCCAGGAAAACGTGTTTATTTATGGTGGTGTTTGATTGTCTAGTAACACACAATCACGCTAACTTTCTCTTTTTAAAGCTTGATCAGAAATCCTGCAATGTGTAAAAGTCTAGGATGCTTGAAACAGGGCAGATATATTCCACTGACTTGTACTTAAACCCTAAATGTTCTTTTTTTTTTTTAATTTTGTTTTGTTTTGTTGTTTTTTTTTCCTCTTAACAAGGTTCTGTAATTACCTAGAACCAGGTCTTTTAAAACATTCTAAACATAATGTTCACATATGGAGGAGTAATGATTCATCTAAGACTTGGCTAGTATATTTGATATTAGCATTTCACCTATGAGGTCATTTTCTACAAAAGCTTTAGAAATAAATAGTGCTACAATTTAATGATCCTTCAAGCATAATGCCATTGTCTGTTGGGGTTTGTTCAATTTCCCAAAGTCCTTTCAAGGCACACGGACTACACTGACTACACTGGAGAAGTAACTGATGTGGGCCTCGGTGAAGTCCCTTGTGATGACCAGCTGTGTTCATTTAATCTCCTTCTTGGCCTTGTAATGGGCAGAGACCACCAGGTAATTATCTGGATTCATGTCCTTGAGGGTTGGTGATTTGCTCTGGATGGGGGAGGTCTTGCCATCCACGCGGGAAATCTGGAGCATGCGGCAGGGGTCGTGTTTCAGCAAATAGCCCGCAAAAGTTTCCCATCCTCCTCCCACACGGACCATGACATGTTTGTTGTGCAGCATCTGAAATGGTAAAAACAACAAAAGTGTAAATATTTTATTCAAGTAGACTCTGAAAGCCTGTCAGGAGGATAGAGGACTGGCCTTTGAGTCAGGAAGACCTACATCCATGAAATCAGGTTTAGTCATCCTCCTTTCTTTCCAAAGTTCCTCCTAATTCAAACCAGTCACCAAGAACTTATTAAGCACTTGCTATATTCAGTGGAGAGAGTGCCAAGCCTGGGGTCAGAAAGACTCATTTTCCTGTGTTCAAATCTGGCCTCAGACATTTATTAGCTTTGTGACCCTGGGCAAATCATTTAACTCTGCCTCAGTTTCCTCATCTGTAAAATGAGCTGGAGAAGGGAATGGGCAAACCACTCCAGGATCTTTACCAAGAAAACTCCAAATTGGATCCCAAAGAGTTGAATAAAAATATGTGATGCATTGCTAAAAAACAGAAACAAAAAAATAAAAAACAAACAAAACTAGCTTCTGCCCTTGAGGAATTTAGCATTCTGTTTCTGGTGGAATAAAATAAGAGTTCTCATTAACAACAATGAGGTGAATTATAAGGAGAGAACATGGGGAAAAGGCAAAGGGAAAATTTCAGTTAAATCAACAATTTAGGGACTGAAAAGATCAGGAAGTCTTGGCATGGACATGAACAGGGTTCTGTTCCACTCATTCACCAAGTATTTGGGTGCTGGAAATACTGAGATAAGAAAGAAAAAGTCCCTGCCCTCAAGGAGCTTACATTCTACTAGGAAAGCCACATATACATATATAAGTAGATTTAATATGCATACAGAAGTTTTACAAAGTAATTTCAAGGGTTAGTACTAGCAGCTGAGAATAAAAACTAATATTTATGTAACATTTACTGTGTGCTAAGCACTTTACAATTGTCTCATGTGATCTTCACAACGGCCCTGGCGTATGGTTACTATTGTCATCTCCATATTACAGATGAGGAAACTGAGGCAAAGAGAGTTAAGTGACTTGCCCAAGGTCCTACGGCTAGTAAGTATCTGAAGATGGATTTGAGCTCAGGTCTTTGTGACTCCAGGCCTGGCATGCTATCCATTGCACCACCTAACTGCCCCTTGGGCAACTTATCTAACCTCTATAAGACCTTAGTTTTATCATCTCTAAAATCTTCTATAATTCCATCTCAGTCTGAATCTCCTCCAATTTAAAAGAGGATTAGATAAACCAAGCTTTATATCCAAAGTTATACATCTGTCATGGTGAAATTTCAGGTAATTTGTCCCTCCATCCTCACCAGCCTTGGCCCTTGGAGACTGTCTCTTTGCCTGATCCCTCTCTATCAGCCTCTTGACCTCCCTTCCCCAACCCCCACCAATTGTAAGCCTTTTACTTTAACTACTAAATAATTTTTTCTTTTGATTTTTTTGTCTCTGAATCCCCAGTGCCTAGCACAGGCAACTAAGAAACAGCACATTTCCTGATTTATTAGAATGTTGCGTCATAGAGAAGTTAGGGCATAATCAGGTAAGTCATTTTCTATACTTTCGTCCACTGTGAAATGCATTTCAGAAGACAGCAATACCATGACTTTAAACCTCCTTGGCATCACTGCTTTGTAACTTATTTGTTTTTCTTCCTCTCGCCTCCCCAAAACATACTACAATGCAACCTAAGATGTCTGACTGCCCGTTTTGGATACTTGACTTCAAGGGAAGAGTTGCAGCCTGAAAGGAAAGTCATTTTTCTCCCGCTAAGGTAGGACACAGCGAAACATTCACAAGCTCTGGAAATGATCAGTCAGCAATAATAATAACAACAGAACCTCTTAAGAGGTCGCCAGTCCACCAGGGAACCTACGGCTCTGGCTTTTGAATTATGGGATAACTGGATTGCAGGGAAGAGGCTCAGGGAAACACAGGGCAATTACACTAAGTAGAGGTATTAGCATTTTAAGGTAAGACATCAAAAATGTATTTCTTTTTCTTTTTCCTCCCTGCAGCTATTAATTTGTCTTCGAAAACCTAAAGTGTGTTAACCCATTCCCCACTGAATGAGGGAAGTCTCCATTTATGCTACCCACAAAAAGGAAAACAGACTTTCTAATTGGGAGGGAAAAAAGTCAATCATTGGTTGACTCCATAAGCACCTTCCAAATAAAAGTGAGCTTTGTCACTGACTTTTTCTCTTCCTTCAAGATGACCAACTTTCCTAAAATCTTTCTTTTTCTTAATTTTTTTTATTTTTAGGCAATTGGGGTTAAGTGACTTGCCCAGAGTCACACAGCTAGTACGTGTCAAGTGTTTGGTCTGAGGCCGGGTTTGAACTCAGGTCCTCCTGACTTCAGGGCCGGTGCTCTATCCACTGCACCACCTAGCTGCCCCCCTAAAATCTTTCTAAGAACCAGGAAACATGGTTTTTAGATGCACAGAATTCAACTTCAAGTCCCACAGAATCAGAGCCAATAACTTAACATTCACATGATCAAAGTTACTGAAATGCTTTTTCTTTTTTCTCTTTTTCCTTCCTTCCTTTCCTTTCCTTTCTTTTGTTTGATGCTTCCCTGGGTGGAGCTGCTTGGATTATTATTTTCTCCCTGCCCCAACTTGGACAAAGCTCCTAACATATTTCCTTGGGAATTATAGCATTTTATTAAGAAAACCAACCATTGCCCTTGCTACTCTTGAATAATGAAAGAGAAACATTTTTTTCTCTCCCTAATATTCTACAAGTGTCTACCTAATGCTCTGAATTGGTATTTATATCTAAAAACTATAAACCTTTTTTTTTTGCTAGTACATGGCCATCGATAACTATTACTCCCATATATGTCCTTTTCCATATTTAATGGACCATGCAGAAACTTTGACATTTTCTCAATTCCCTTGCTTCTCAGGTCCTAGTTACTGCCCAATCTATTTTCTGTTACTGTCTAGATATTTTCATTTGCAGCAAAGTTTTCGTGAACCAGGACCCTTCCATTGCTCACTCCCTGCAGCATTCCTGTGAGGAGAAGAAAACCTACCTCAATTTAGATCATCTCAGTCCACTGGGACATCTTATGTTTATCCATGCCTTCTTGTCTAACCTAATCACCAGCTGTTTTTACAAGCTATCATAATTTGAGTGAAAACTTTTTTTAAAAAATTTCATCATCTGCTCTTTAGAGGAAGACTATTCAATTAATTTATAGGCCAATGCATTCTCTTTATCCTCTTTTAACATTTTTCTAACAGAAGATATATTTAACTCTGGGGGATGCAGGGAATAGGGTTTATTTGCATTCTGCACCATGCTACATTGAATTGGGTGAAAGGAGGTGTTCAGCATTTCACCTGAAAGCCAGACAAATCTGACTTGATACCAATGGCTACATAATCAAAAGGGGGGAGAGATGGTATTGAACTCTGAGGTAGACTATTCTACCAAAGGTGAGGAAGACATGCATTGAAATCTGTTCTTACATATTAACTAGCTGGGCGACCTTAGGGTAGTCACATGCTCTGAGTTTCAGTTTCCTCATTTATAAAATGAGGATACAAGTATTTACTTTGAAGGTTGTTGTGGGGCTCTAAATGAGAAAATATATGAAAACCACTTTGAAAACCTTAAAGCACCATATAGATGTCAGCTATTGTGATAGAATAAAGTTCCTTGAGAGTTGAAAGGGCTTTGGTTTTTATGTTTGTATTCCCAGTGCCTAGAGTAACCACCAGATGGCACTACATGGCAAGGTCAGTAGTAGGAGGTAGAAGATGAGGAACTATGAAAGGAAGAGGTACTCCTTCCCTCCCTCTGGCCCCCATCCTTGGAATATGATAGTGCCATACTCTTTCACATAATACCCCTTTTTATTCTCCCTCCTAGGCCAGGAAGCTAGGGATTCTAAAAGGTAGAGGTGAGGAAGGAGTACATTTCAGCACTTAGCACAGTGCTTGGAAGACAGTAGGTGCTTAATAAAGGCTTATTGAGTGATTGATATCAGACAGTGCAAAGGTATGGAGGCAGGGGATGGACTGTCACATTCAGGGAAGAGCAAGCATGCCAGTTTAATTTAAATATTGAGTATGTATTTAGGAGTGATGTGAAATCAGGCTAAAATGATAAGTTAGAGTCAGATTGTGAAGGGCTTTAAATTCCAAATGAGGAATCCATACCTTATCTCAGAAAATAAAATAACCGACAGTGACTCACAGTAAGCCTAGAGACCTCAACTAGAACAGCCAAGGAGCTGACCCCACAACCAAGGGCTCCAGGCTATGATCTGAAACAAGCTTGGCTAATATGATTAAAGAAGGAAAATGTATTAGGGTCATCAACAAAGGATGGGCATGCAGATACGTCATACACACATACAGGCAGACAGAACTTTTCATTTCTATGGAAATTGCCTCCTGTTACTTGATAAACATCTTCATGAACCCGCTTAAAGCTTCCAAAGATCTGGGATTTTATAGAAGTACATATCTGTTACCTTGATGCAAATCTCAATCCCTCCACACTTTGGTACAAAGTTTATAAACTGCAGTACTCCCCCACCCCCACAAAAAAATCATCATATGTTGGACATTGGCTTGTCTTTCAATAAACCTCTTCGAAAACTAAGCTAAATTCATCCTTAGATGATAGCTACAAAATGTATCACTGGGTCTGTTTAAGAGTCTTTACAGCTTGGTAGGACCTAGCAAAGCATGAATCTGACAGGCAGGAGCCCTCAACAACACTGGGTCATCTACATACCATGAGAAGATATCAGTGGAGGTAGGGCTTTTGTGGAGATAGATTTTTTAAAAAAATATTTTTAAAATCATCAACTTGATCAATAAACATAAACATTTAATAAGGAAAAGCGAAAAAAACCAAGGCTTGTATTAGAAACTGCAAACTTTTGTTATGTGCAGATTGTTTTTTTAAGTTTATATTTGTACATCATATATATAACCAAATATCATATATTGCACATGTAACATATATGATACTTATATAACTATATATAGCTATAACCAGAGTTAATAGATATAAATGCATGCTATATA